CGGACTTTACATCGTTCTCACTTTGGACCATCCTATTACCCCGAAGATTGATTACATGTTTGGTCATAGGATTTTTTCTAATCACTCTTTGAGCGGATCCACCTTGGTTTGGTTTGAAGATAGAGGTGCTTGGAATCTCTTGACTACTACTGAATTTCAATCCAGCCAAAGTCAAGAGAGAGGCTACCAAAGTGGCTCATGGGACTGACAAGTTCTGACAATGTGCATTAAGTGAGAGGAGACATTCCCGTCAACTACGTAGGCGTCTGTCGAGACTGCGTTAATCTCAATATAATGTGCCAGCTCGGTATCTCGGAGGTCCTCATAGGGTAAGGTGTCCATGCGTGTTTGTGTCATAGGGGTGAGTGTATATGCGTATGTATGAAGCGTCTGTATTGTGTCCACAAAAATTATTAAGTAATATATTGGGGTTTTTTCTAAAAAAGAACTTGAGGTCCTAAAAACTATGTAATCAAACTGTGGTAAAGTAGAATTTTCTCTTCTTTTTTGTTTGCACGGAAATGAAGTAGCAGCCATTAAATTTGTCATTAAGTTGTTTCACAATATAAATTTGTTGTGTCAACATCTTGGAGACGACAATAAAGTATGTGAAGATCTTTTTCACAAAAGAATGGGTGCCTTATCGTTTGGGCATGCACCTACCCATAGTTTGATGAGGCTCCGCGGTGTGTGAGATAGCTGATACTAGTCGTTTCCATTTGACTCAGGAGCAACTCAATCATAATTCATAGGTATTTAGCTAAATATCAAAATATATTGGTAAACAAAAGTTAATATGTTAATATCACCTTGTCTCGTAGGCACGATATAATTAAGAAGATAAATTAAAAATAGGGGGATTACAGTAGCTTAGTAAGTTGTTTATTATGCACTAGTCATTTTTTCTGCCAAGAGCCCAAGACACAATTATCAGTGAGAAAACTTTGTACCGGTGTCTATTGACCACAAATTAGGAGAGACGTGGATTAGTGGCTTACTTACGGTAGTCAAAAGAAGATATTTCTGTGGCATTTCAAAACTTCACCTCGACCATGACAACTGTCAAGCAAGTGAAAAGCTTTCCACTGAGCTCAACTTTAATATCCACTGAACGAAGTTGCGTTTCTAAATTCCCTTACAATAGTCGCAATACAATGTTTACCCTCGTCTACATCAAGCAGGCGAAAAAGTTTAGCACATATTCAAAGTACAAATTAGGTTTATGTGTTATAAACCTCCAATAACAATTGTAGTTACCAATCTAAGCTCCCTATAACCCTTACTGTTGAAGTACTAAGTCTCGACCATAAAAACTATAAAAACTTGTAAGATAGACATTTAGCAGGTGTTGTGTGGCTGACCTGTTTGCACTGTTGGGCCCTTTTTTCATGAGGAAATTAGTTACAAAAATGCCAAATGGAGACAGAGCTCCATGGAGGCCTTAATTTGAGAACTTTAAAATTCAAATATTCAGTTTAAAAAAATCTGAAAATAAATACACATATACCTAGAGACATAATGTAGATGTGTATTCAGGTTGAATTTGTTAAAATGAGATATACACAAAAAAGACAAATCTGTGACTTTTTAGCATAGATGTACTGTTCATCTCTGAAGTCCATGATTTTTTTTGTGCAGTTCGCAATTCAAGGTGTTTCTTCCTGAAATTTTACACAATACACATTACATGCTTCTATATATCTATAATCGTTTTAAAAAAACTGGAAATGGAAACTATGAATTTTGAATTTTTTTAAATTAAGAATTCCATGGAGCTCGGTCTCCAAAATGCGCTACTCACCTATTTATCATTTATATTGTACCTCTGTAATATAATAATATATATGTATATATAAGTTTCGACTTCCATCGTAGACTTCAATATGTGGATAGTATTGCGTTCTGTCTAAGGTAAGACATGCGCAATCCTTTGTTGTGGTGCATAGCTTCCGCAAAAGACCGACATAATTACATAATTGTTTCAGGCAATATGGGAGTATCCATAAAAATTGCAAAAAATTACGCAAGATTCCTTGTTAGACATGATCACATGAAACGCATATGCGAGAAGCTTTTGTTTAGAATCTATGGCACTTGACACAGTAATCTTTAGGATAACAATCTTTAAAGAAATGCCAAAAGGCAGTGTGAATGTATATGTTTATTCTGTTTATGTACTCCCAGTTTTGTTTCTGTATTATAATTATAATTATCTTGAAAGGTCAAAGAATATCCCATCTAGTATGAAAGTTTTGCTGGTACATTAACTTAATAATGAAAATTAAATTGATGCCCGCCAATACTTCTCTTCGAAGTGTCACAGTAAATGTGGAAGTTTATGGAATATTAATTTGCGGCAAAAATTTAACCTTAAGTAATTTGGTGCTGCGAAGTATGTGGTGTATATTTTACATACATGCGGGCTTCATCCAAACATGCAATGTCGACTAAGTTTCAGTTTGGTTTAGAAAGCACAGCCCATGGGAAAAGAATAACAGATTTGATAGCATACTTAAAATCCCAGGGATGGTACTGTTACTCACTTGGCAGACACAAAGTACGACCCATGCCAACATAATCTGTAGATATTAGTTACCTAGGATAATTGGCAGAAGCAAAAACACTTGTCCATCCGCAACCCATATATTTATCGGGATGCAAAAGGCGACAATAGCTGATATACTCATTACAATCATGCCACTATGAGAATATATCACCTTCTTCACATATAGATTGGTCATAACCGCCCGCAAAAAAAAAAGATCGGTCATAACCGATGTAACTCTGTAATAGTACTTACAATTTGCTCCAGCCGTGCATCTTCCTGCAACCTTAGAAATATATGTGCCCATCTCCTCAAGCCCCATATAGAGTTAACCATTATTCATGCGTCACTGCTCCTGACAACTTGATGCTAATTTGTAGATACAATGCTTGGTCTTCTTGTGTAATTGTCGTAAGCCAATCAGTGAATCAATTGACAGTTATGTTATCGAAATATGCAACCCTGAGCCTCAAGAGCCTCTCTAGAACTGTGATGGGAAGAATATATATTATTCTTAGTTCGAGTGCAACAAAATTATTAGTGATGGGAACATCCAACAATGAACTTTAAACAACAGTTTTGTCTTAGGTTCTCACGTGAAAATAACTAAGTCGTATCCATACATCAGAATATGTCAAAATATTGCCCACTTGTATTGTATGAGCCTACTTGTCAGCATAATATCTGTTGAGTTATAGACAAAGGGAAATCTACCAATGGATGCAAGATATGTACCTAGAAAATAAGAATAATGTTACTTCTTCCCAGAAATTTTTAGCATGCAGGCATATTAGTATGGAAGCTAGGCCAGTACTGTGGGAGTGATTCATGTTTGATCTTTCAAAAGTCTACATCTGTTAGTCTCAACTCCTATGTTGGCGCTAACGCGAGGAAATTAAAAGATGGAAGAAATTATCAAAAGCTCAAAAGCCCATGAGGTAGTTTGTGTAGACAACCATATCGATCTGCTGATTTTTTTGACAAATAATACTTTAGGAAGGGACAGACGGGGAGAGGTATGTACTGGTGTGAGGCGAAGTAGAAAATCTATGTCGTTCAGTCGATGTGAGGAACCAATCTCGGGACTGCAGAGAGAGGAGGCCCGCTTGGGAACTGGCTAGGCGGCGGCGAATTCTGCAGGGAGTAAACGAACGTGAAGACAAGAGTAGGGTACAAATCACGTCCATCTCTCCTAAAAAAATCACGTCCATCTAGCCAGGACGTACAGCCCATGTTGTCAGGTCGTACGACTCAATGATCCCTTTCCAACCCGTGATTTTTTTTCTCTCCACGGATGCATGCGTGGGACATCACGCATGGACTCTTTTTGTACATCGAACGGCAGTTAATAATTATTATAGGAGATCTAACGAACAATAATCTTATTCTCAAGGATTAACGTGGAGTCTTTATTGGTGCTTCCAATTAGTAAATATAAGAAAGATATAAGATATAAGATGGACGTAAGAGGTCTTGGTTTAATTCAGTATCTCCTCCTAGCATTTTATTTCAGCTTATTTTGTAACTTCTTTTCTTGTACTTTCCTCTTGGTATTGTTTCTTTTTTTTTCTCTCTTGAACTTTTATTATATTTTTTTGACATTACTACACACATCTCTACAGAATATTCATTTGCATATATTTTTATTAAAATTTGTACTTATAGGTTTATTTTAGATTCACTCTTTTTTTTTCCTTGCAATTTAATAGTTGTATTACAGATTCAATCTCTTTCGTGCTTGTAATTTCATAGGTTTTCTTATCCATCTTCAAAGTCCTGTGCCGCCATTGATTTGGTTGTCATTACGTTGCAGCTTTGTTGCCTTGTGTTTAGGGCATGTACAACGCGACTAGCTGCCTCGCAAGCCACGTAGGCTCGGGTGTCAGAGACGGTGGCTTCACAGCATGTCAGAGTCACCTGCAGAAGAGGCCGCTACTTGGCCGGGAAAAGTATGAGCGAAAGGAAAAAGAAAGGGAAGCCCTGCTTGTTGCGTGAGTGGATGAACAAGGATAATCCACATGGAGCGATTGCTTCACCGGTACAATCGTATGTGGAGGGGATGAGACCAACATTTGCTATAGCCTCCGTAGCTCATGCCCTTAATGTGCCATTTCAGTTTCAAAATGACCTGTCTACAGGTCATGAGAAAAGAAAAAGAAAAACTACGGCCCTCACCACCAACGGTTGTAATCACATTTATACGTATGTTTATCGTTTTCCTCTGATTAATAGCCTCATGCATGAGTACATGTCTTTGCCCGAACCACTCAATGGACACTTGTCGTTTGATCCGTAACACAAAGGACAGCTAAGCCAGCACCTAATACCTATCTCAGCCTATTTAACACACTGAAGCAACTCGATCGGAAGCACGGCACTTACAAACTCAATCAGCAAAGCCCTAAAGCCAAGTGCGAGTGCGACTACCTGCATTGCACCTTGGCTAGCCCTAGACATGGAGAACGACGGCGTCCCCAACGGACCAGCGGCGCCGGCACCTACCCAGGGGACGCCGGTGGTGCGGGAGCAGGACCGGCTGATGCCGATCGCGAACGTGATCCGCATCATGCGCCGTGCGCTCCCTGCCCACGCCAAGATCTCCGACGACGCCAAGGAGGCGATTCAGGAATGCGTGTCCGAGTTCATCAGCTTCGTCACCGGCGAGGCCAACGAACGGTGCCGCATGCAGCACCGCAAGACCGTCAACGCCGAAGACATCGTGTGGGCCCTAAACCGCCTCGGCTTCGACGACTACGTCGTGCCCCTCAGCGTCTTCCTGCACCGCATGCGCGACCCCGAGGCGGGGACAGGTGGTGCCGCTGCAGGCGACAGCCGCGCCGTGACGAGTGCGCCTCCCCGCGCGGCCCCGCCCGTGATCCACGCCGTGCCGCTGCAGGCTCAGCGCCCGATGTACGCGCCCCCGGCTCCGGTGCAGGTTGAGAATCAGATGCAGCGGCCCGTGTACGCTCCCCCGGCTCCGGTGCAGGTTCAGATGCAGCGGGGCATCTATGGGCCCCGGGCTCCAGTGCACGGGTACGCCGTCGGAATGGCGCCCGTGCGGGCCAACGTCGGCGGGCAGTACCAGGTGTTCGGCGGAGAGCGTGTCATGGCCCAGCAATACTACGGGTACGGGTACGAGGAAGGAGCGTACGGCGCAGGTAGCAGCAACGGAGGAGCCGCCATTGGCGACGAGGAGAGCTCGTCCAACGGCGTGCCGGCACCGGGGGAGGGCACGGGGGAGCCAGAGCCAGAGCCAGCAGCAGAAGAATCGCATGACAAGCCCGTCCAATCTGGCTAGTCGCGTGCGCGGCGCGCGTTAGCTTCTGCGTCCTGTGTACTGTAATAATTTGCCGTGTCGATCCGGCCATGGTTTGTGTGTGCGTAGTGCTTATCTAATGTGGGCTTGTCCTCTAGTAATTCATGTATTGCTTATCTAATGTGGACTTGTCCTCTAGTAATTCATGTACTCTTTGCTGTTGAAGTTATCGTCGCTTAATTTGGTTTTGCTTAATTTGGCTACTCGTAATTGATGATCGGGTGAAAAACCGCATTTGTTTCGAGAAAGGTTTCCGACTTCTGCATCATTGTGATGCACACCGTAATACATAATATTTTGTATTGCAAATTAGACCTGTGTATGATGTCATGAGCATGTCATATTCACGGTCATCCAATAATTAAGTATGCGACAGAATGCAGTACACAATATTTTTTGTTGCAAATTGAAGCTTCTTATAACGTCATGAAGATGTCATGTTCACGGGTCATATGGTCTCTCACACTAAAACAAAAGTCATACTCTCTCTATCTCTATCTATCTATCTATCTATCTATATATCTATCTATCTCTAGCCACATGTACGTGTGTATGTGTGTCGGTTAGCAAAGTGGTCATGAACATCTTGCGCGCGTAGCTGGAAAGGAAACTGCCTGACGTTGGTGCACTGATGGGGCGCGCGCCCCAGGCTGGCCTGGAACGGTGGAAAGAACATCGTCGCGTGCGGCGTCATTGATAGACTTGCGTGAACTTCCCTCTCAGCAAACCGCACGTGCATACGCAGGAAAAAAAACGTAGCAACGTGTGCCTCGCAGCGACTGTTGTGCGGCTAGCAGCCAATGTGGTTTGCCGTTGTAGCTCCCGTCACCAACCATCATAGCATCACCGAGGCTCTTGCATCATCCGCCGCCCCGCTTGCAGCATCCACTGCCCGTCGTCGCAGCATCACAATCCTCCATGGCCATCGCTTCTCGTCGCACCATCCACCGCCCGCCTTCGCAGCATCACTGTCCTCGCCATGGCAGCCGTCCATCGTCTCACCGTTTACCACTGGGCCTTGTGGCATACACGGCGATTCACCATAGCAATACCGTCCTCGCCTCCAGAACAGTCATCGATCGTCTCCTGTCGCTCGCAATAGTCACCTCACGGTTGCACATCATTGTCGTCGATCTCAACATTGACAGTCGCCCTCATATAACCGATGCCCGCCTCTTGTAGCCTAGAACGGCGCCACTCAAAGCACACCTACCCGCGCTCACAACACGCAACAGTGCAACCCGAATCATCACGTGACCACCTGCCGACGCTTCGGCTGGTCGGCCTAGCAACAGCGACCTCAGGCCATGCATCAGGTTGTCTTGCAATAGATAGGGACAACGGTGACTAGCGCTCGCAACGCGTGCACGTGAGAGAGGGAGAGAGAGAGAGAGAGAGAGAGAGAGAGAGAGGCGACGAACCTAATTCTGGACGAGTGTGGGGACGAAGAAGGCGACAATTCGCTCGCAAACCGTTGTAGCAGCCATGCGGGCAGGGGCGATGGCATAGCACCGGAAGCAGTGAATGAAGGACACTCCGGGGAGAGAGTGGCTCGAGGGTTGGCCACCAGTAGAAGTCAAGAGCTAGAAGAAGAGAGCGAGACGGAGATATGGGGAGAGAGGGGGGAGGGGGAAAGTTTATTCGGCGGAGAGATGAAAAGGCAAGTAATTTTCAAAGGAGGAGATAAGGTGTGTCTGGTACAGGTAGGGACACATGACTGCGTGGGCGGCGTGGGAGGCGACCAACGTAAGGATGGATCGGCCGCTCCATTATAAACATTTACCCAAAAAGAAAGCACTCCTGGTTCTCTTGATGTAATGGTATACAAACTCTGGATGCTCGGTAGTAACTTGTCAAATGTACTATAGCGCGAACGTGTGCTCGCTATCTTGGTAGCGTGACGTGTCATGCGTGCACAAAGAATGTGTGGAATGCCTCACTCGTGTGAGACGCACTGCATGAGCGTGCATCCCCTTCCGTACACCAGTCCAGCATCAAGCCAAGTCACAATTTAGGTGAGTGAAAAATCCATTCCATCTAGGTAGGTAACATACTTTTCCACATATGCGGATCCTAAATTCTCCCTTATGTCACCCCCTACTTTTCATCCTCACTTCCATACCTTCCTAAAGATAAGATGCAACAACCCTTCGACTGGTTCTTCCCTCCCCGACCCCATCTAGAAACCAAAATCACCGGAGTACGAAAAGATGATGCCGTCAGTAATGTACGAAATGTTGCCAAGTGTTATGAGCATATGCTACCATCTTGATGGTGTGATAAATTACCATCCTAGAAAACAAATGTATCCGACAAAAAATGTGAGCCTGGTTTCCCATTGCAAGAGAAGAAATACATCTCAAGACCCAATGCATAAGTTACCATATTCCACAACGTAGAATTACAATATGTCATAATAAAAGTAGCAACAAAATATGGGTGGATCTACTACATAGTACATTTTTTCTTAGTTGTGGTACGATAGATGATTAAATTACCAAGTTTTCATGCACAACACTTGCCAAAATATGCAGTTTACCATATCCTGTCATGTTGACTTAAGTTGCCATGTTTGCTTAGCTACCCAAAACTTACCAAGTTAACAGAAAATGGCACTAGTTAGAGCATCTCTAGCAAACCTCGTATATCGCCGACCCGCAAAACTCGTTTACAGTTCGCGAAAAACGGTTTTGCGGGCCAGCGTGGACGATGGGCAAGCAGACCCCGCATAGCAGAACTATAAAACATAATATTTGCGGATATTCCATTTTACAGTTCCGCTATGAGGGGTCTTCTCGGCTGGCGCCCGTGCCGTCCCTAAATTAGATGGGGTTTTATCTGAATTTGACACATATGCCACATATTCAGAATTATTAATTCAATATAAGATAAAGTGTCAATATTACAATACAACAATCGTCCAAATTACAATAATTATTGGAATCACCAAAAAAAACTAAATAATTCAATACAAAACTTGTCCCGAATACAAATTACACATGAATTAAATGCAAAAGTGGAATGTGTTACTGCCCACCTCTTTGCCAATGGTGCTCAATGAGATCCTCCTAAAACTGAAAGTGGGTGTTTGCATTATCAATCGCCTTGTAGGTATGAAGGAATGCTCTAATGTGTTTAGGGTCTCTAGCTTGTTTGACACGGCTACCCACATTGTCATAGAAGAACTTCATGTGCATGCCTCTCTTATCTTCGAGAATCATATTGTGAAGAATAACATAAAGGGTCATGATGATCGCTTTTCCCAAAAACGAGCAGGTTCACGAACAATGGCAAACCTAGATTGCCAAACCCCGAATGCTCTTTCAATATCTTTTCGGACTGCCTCTTGTACCCTTGCAAATTCACATTGTTTCCTAGTTTTGGGGTCTTTGATGCTCTTGACAAATGTGCATCAAGAAGGGTAGATATATACCATTTGCAAGATAGTACTCCTTTGTGTATTCATGCCCATTGATAGTGTAGTTGCAAGCAGGAGCATCACCACTAGCAAGCCTAGCAAACAAATGTGACCGTTGCAACACATTGATATCATTGAGAGTACATGACATACGAAAAAACCAATGTCCAATCCATATATCCTTGGATGCTACGGCCTCTAGCACAATTGTTGCATCATGAGACTTGCCATAATACATTCCCTGCCATGCCTTCGGACAGTTTTTCCAAGTCCAATGCATACAATCAATGATTCCTAGCATGCCAGGCCAACCTCTTCTCTCACTTGTTGCCATAAACTTTTTTGTGTCTTCCTCATTGGGTGCCTGAAGATATTCAGGACCAAAGACACGGATGATCACTTACAAACATACGCACTGACTTGATTGTAGTATCTTCACCAATGCAAACGTACTCATTGACATAGTCTGCCGGAATGCCGTATGCAATTACCCGCATAGCTGCCGAGATTTTTTGATATGCACTAAATCCCTTCAAGCCCGCGACACTTCGTCTTTGAGTAAAATACCGACAATTGGCCTTGCAAGATTGCACTATTTTTACAAAGAGGGATCGGCTCATTCGGTACCTTTTCCAAAAGATGTGCGGCGGATATGTTGGATTGTCCGCGAAGTAGTCTTGCATCAACATCTCGTTCCCGAGATGGCGATTTCATGGAATGCAAAGACGGCCGATGGTCGATCCTCACCCTCTGTTTCAATTCTCATCTCCGTGCTCCTTCATGGTGAGGGCCATCACCAACATCTGATGCCGATGGTTCTCAAGCAGCATCTCAACATCCAAGTTGTCCGACTTGGGCGAATCGTCGAGCAAAAACCTCTCACGAGGGCTCAATTCCATCTACAATCACAAATACGAATGCTGCATGAACCAACTATGCATAGCGCATCCCAAAGCACAAACACAAGTACTCGCTAGCGGCTTGGGCGGTGGCACTACGGTGGTGGATCCCAGATCGGCGACAACGACTAGTGGCGAGTCAACTCATCTAATCCGGGGAACCGGTGACGCGGCAAGGTGGAACAGGGTGCGGGGTGTTGGGGAACGTTGTATGAAAAACAAAAACTTTCTACGCACACGCAAGAACTATCCACGGAGATGCATAGCTACGAGAGGGGGAGAGCATCTACATACCCTTGAGATTGCTAAGCGGAAGCGTTTATCACGCGGTTGATGTAGTCATAGTCTTCGTGATCCAATCACGATCCAACCGATCTAGTACCAAACAGAAGACACCCCGAGTTTAGCACACGTGCGGCTCGATGACATCTCCTCCTTCTTGATCCAGCAAGCGGGAGAAGATAAGTATATGTGTTCACAAGCAACACAACGGTGTGGTGTTGATGGTGGTGGTGGAGTACCGACAGCGCTTTGTTAAGCGTCGTCGGGACGAGGCGGTGGGACTATGGAGTAACAAGAGAGAGAGGGGCGCCAAGGGCTTGGTTTCTCCTCTTGGGGCGCCCCTCCCCTCTATATATAGGCAAAGGGGCATGGGAAACAGCCCA